CGCCACCACCATCGCCACCATCACATATTTTTATAAGGGTATTTATGTCTTTTAAAACATATTTCATTTCTATTCCTTAAATCAACCAAACACTGTAATATAATTCCTAAAGTATATTCCTTTCGCGAACCAAACAATAGAATACAATTCCTATTCTATTCCTTGACTATTCCATTTATTATGGAATAGCGTTCCTATTACTTCAAAATTCATTATGTGAACCAAACGTGCTATTAGTTACCTTTCGTTTAAAAATGTAACAATGATGTCATCAAACCATAAATTACATGACAATATTTCTTTATTTTCAATTAATCAACGATTTCTTTTCCCCACATACTCTAACTCTGTATATTTAGCAAATATGAAACTTAATGTGAGCTTTTGCGCTCAAAGATAACAATTTTAAACTTATGTCATTGTCATTAAAGTGTTGTCTGTTTACGAAGTATCAAGTTTCGCTTAAAGGCAACACATTAAAAATAATGAATTAATCAAAATCGTTGTCTTTGAAAAAAATGTAAGCTCAAAGACAACAATTTTTCTAAAAATGATTTTCTTTTACATAGAAGACAACGTTTTTAGCTAAAATTGTTGTCATTCTTGTTGTTGTATAGGTCAATTTTTCTTGTAGTGTTCGTTATCCTTCCAACAATCCTTAGGACTAAAGGGATTTTCACAAAGTCACATTCTCTTTCATTTAGCTAAAATTTCACAAACACTTCAAACATAGATAGTTTTCACTTGAGAGTTTTTAGAAAAAAATAGAGAGCGTATTTGGTAATACTTCAAGGGTGTTACTATTTACACCAGCCTTTAGTCAAAAAGTGTGTATAAAATACTTTAGAATTGTAAAAAGTTGAAAACTTTCAATAATTACATAGGTGGTGTAAATAGCCGAATGGGGGTTCATATTGCTATTTGCACCACCTTGGTCAAACGTCATTTACTAGGTGTAATTAATATTTTTAATTCAAAATTTAATTAATTAAAACATTTAAAAAAAAAGAGAGAAGAACATGTCGCCTTCTCTGGTAAGAAGGCGAGGGGCTACCTTCTCACCGAAGAAGGCGACCCAAGTAGCCTTTTACCTGGGTTACCTTCTCTGGTGAGAAGGTAACTGGGCTGCCTTCTCAAGTGAGAAGGCATCCTAATGGGTTGTCTTCTCACCGGATAAGGCGACCTAGGTAGCTTTCTACCTGGGTTGCCTTCTCCGGGTGAGAAGGCAACCACTTGATGGGGTGCCTTCTCACTGGAGAAGCTAACCCAAATAGTAGGCTATTAATAGTTTGATTGTTAAAAAAAATAAATATTAAATATTAATGTTTAACTACATTTAATGAAGGTGGTGCAAATAACACTTTTATATTTGCACCACCTATAAAACTATTACACCTATTAAATGGGTGATGTAATTAGCAAATAGTATGGTGTAAATAGAATTTTCCTACTTCAAACACTTATAGATAATTTCGCAAAAGTGATTTGATTTGAGTGAGTGGAAATGTTTTTTGTTTGAAAACGGTTCAAATTGAAAATATGTCAAACATTACCCGACATAAAAGCCTTAAATGCCCTTAGAGCATCCACAATGGTTGGGGAGAATTGGGGGATAATGTAAGAGTGATTAGGAAAGAGAAGGTGGAAAGGGAAGAAAAAAAAATCAAAACAAAATAAAACTGATTTAAAAAAAAAAAAAAAAAACATTGTCAGGCAGGGCGCGCCTGACGCGCCCACGGGCGCGTGCATTGCACGCGCCCGTGTGGCTGACTGCTGTGCGCAAAACACGCACAGCAGTTAATGTTTCCTGATATTTCTCTTCCCTTGGGAAGAGAAATATTTTAACATTTGCAGGAGAAATAATTCATGTATTGACTCCAGTCCACATCAATAAATAACCCCACTCAAGTTATTTTTTCTTACATTATCCCCCTATTATCCACTAGTGTGGATGCTCTTAGGTAATAAATGAGTTCTGTATTTGTAGGGGTATGTTCCAGGTACGAAATATTACCATGATTGATAATAAATGATAAAATATAATAGGCAAGACAGTTAATATGAGAGAGAATCAACATTAAGTGCATATTTTTTTTGAATATTATTATTGAGACTCGACTCATACCCACAACTTTCCATGTGAGAGTTTAACTTGGTGTTATTTAACTACATTAAATACACATAAGTTCATACGATGTGTCAAAAATTATAGCTAGTAACTATTCTGTTCAATTCAAAAAGGTAAAACATACCTCTCAGCTGAACAACGGGTCAGTTTATCTTTCGACATGATCGCCTTCCACCTTGAAAGAATCCCCCAGAATTTAATACATGAAACCTTTCACATTCCACATTTCGACTTTCAGTCTCATCTATAATAATTTTACCATCCAACTTCATTGATGCTCAGTATTGACATTTTAAACCATTGACACCTTTCGGTTATATAAACTATCTATGTATGCCCAAATCACTTTGTAGTATATTATTCACTTCTCGGACTTGATCCACTTCTCGATTGCTCTTTACTTTTTGGTGTAACTTTCCGGTAGTTTAACTTAACTCAATCATACAAAACTCATGCCGCAAATCTGCTTTGACTAAATGGCTTGGTAAGAATATATGCTAGCTAATAATCCGTATTGACATATTCCAACTTAATATCTTTAATTTCGGAGTGATATTTGATGTTTATATGCTTTTTCTTTGAATGTAACACCCGATTATAAGTGAAGACTATCACACTAGTGTTTTCACGCTTTATGCTTATCTACTTAGCTTCAACGCCATAATCCTCGAGTTACTACTTCATACATAGAACTTGTGCACAATAGCTTCCAAAAGCCACATACCCAGCATCAACAATTCTTGTAGCAATTTAGTTTTCTTTCTTATTAAACCAAGAAACAAGTCTATCACCTTAGAATTGACAAGTACCTAACATATTATTCCTGTCAATCTTGCAACTCGTGAAGTCCGCATCTAAATAACCAATCAGCTCGAAACTTCCACCTTTCAAATTCCAAAACCCTACACTTTGTGTACCCTTCAAGTATCTCAAAATCTTCTTGGCTGCCACAAGGTGACTTTCCTTAAGCTTTGCATGAAATCTCGCACAAACACCCACTGAATACGAAATATTTAGTCTGCTTGCTGTAAGGTAGAATAGTGGACCAATGATACCTCTTTATTTTGATTAATCAAAGTCATTTCTCTCATTATTCAAATCCATCGTTAATGAGGTGTTTATGGGTATCTTAACTGAAGATTTATTATCTACTCCAAACTTCTTGATCAAATCTTTGGTATACTTAGCTTAGTTTATAAAAAACCTAGGTATAGAGCTTTCAATACGGATCAGTCCGTCCCATACGGGCTGGCCTGTCACTGGTTGGAAGAAAACTGGATGGGACGGGCCAGCCCGTTTTCTATACGGTTGAAATTTTCACAACTCAGCCCGTTGGGTACGGGTTGACGGGCTAAACGGACCAACCCGTACTACTTTTTTTTTTAAAAAAAATTATATTTATTTTATTGTTAATTTGTTATAAGTTATAATAAATAAATTATTTAGAATGACATACTTCCTAATTCCAACACAACATTCATAATTCCACATTCAAATCTTACAAGTTTTCAACACAATTTTAATCAAACATTCAAAGTGTTCAAGACACACAACCAAAAGTTCAAAATAGTCAAACATTCAAACATAATTTAAATTCAAAAGTCCATAAATGAAAAATACATTAAAGTCTACAACACAAGTACACAACAAAGATATTAGAAGCCTTCCCGCAATAGCATCTTTTTTTTTTTTTTAAGTACACGGGTCGGGTAGCCCGTGTAACCCGTGCCCAGCACGGGTTAAACAGGACGGGTTGGGATTTCTCCCACCCAACCCGTCCAAAATCACGGGTAAACGGGCCCAACCTGACGGGTTGGGCCCGTTTTGACCGCTCTAAAAAAAACCCTTCTTTGCTTTGCCTTACTTGTAAACCAAGAAAGTATGAGCTCTAGCTCTCATCATGCTTATCTCAAATTTCTCATCGTTTGCTTTGAAAAGTTCTTATATAACTCTGAATTTGTGCTTCCAAATATGATATCATCTACGTAGATTTTCACAAGAAGGGTATGATCACCATCCTTAATCCTAAAGAGTTTCTTGTACACAAGACCTTTTAAATGTTTACATTTAAGGCTAAGGTTTCAATCTTATTAAAAAAAAATCAAAAGAATTTGTCAATCTTAAATTCTCTATTCGATCTGTGTGAAGAAGCCTATCGAATTCTTCATCCAAATCTTGACAAAGAAGCCATGGCCAGATTTGGAGGAAGAATCCAACAAGCTTCTTTGTTTAGATTGAAACATAGAAGTTTGATGGGTTCTCTATCCCGATTGAACGAAGAAGCCGAATGATTTCTCCATTCAAATCGACAATGAATTGAAGCCAACCAAGCTTCTTCAAACGAAGAAGCGTGTTTCTTCATCCAATCTAGAGGATGAAGAAGGTTGCCTTCTTCACCATGAAGGTATGGACGATTTCCATGGAAACTAGTTGTCACAACACTCGTTTAATTTTAATTTTTTTAAGAGGATGATAAATTAGTGTACAATATGGACAATGAATAGGTTAAATAATATATAATGTGACATCTTATATGACGGTAATTTGAAATCAATTGGTTATTATAGGTCAAAATTAATTTTGTTATTTGCATTAGATTATTTCTGAGTTTAAAAATTCAATTTAGTTTTTTTTTTTTTTTTTTTTTTTTTAAATTTCAATGACCTAATTACATTTTGTTGATTAATTAGAGAGGTTCCCTCAAGAGCTATTGCAAGAGAAATTGGATATTTAACCACACTTGAATTGGTATCAATTTGATCCAACAACTTTATAGTTGCGTTCAATGATTTTATTTGCTGCTAAATGATTTGCTTAGTATTTTTTAACTATTCTTTCATAATAATTCCTAAATTTACCTATTTGTATTCAATGAGCTCACATAAAAAATCAACTTTTGGCAGGTGCAATACCACAAGAATTGGGAAAACTTGATATGTTGGAGCATTTGGAATTAGGATATGCTAACTTAAGTGGGTCCATACCAGTGGGAATCTTCAACATTTCTTCATTAAAATATATTTCACTTTTAGACAATAAACTTGTGGGCACCCTTCCTACAAGCATTGGGCGTGCTCTACCAGATCTACAAGGACTCTATCTTGAGGGCAATTTGCTTTCTGGAGTGATACCTGATTCTATCTCAAATTTTTCCAAAATTACTGTCCTATGCATTGGCAATAACAGATTCAACGGCTCATTACCCAATTCTCTTGGTAACCTAAGGAACCTAGAACGAGTACATGCATTCAATAACATGTTCACAAACGATGCAGCCTCACCAGAGCTAAGTATCATCAACTCCTTGGTTAATTGCAAGTCTTTGATTGAAATACGCTTAGATGATAACCCTCTACATGCTGCCCTTCCTGCATCAGTGGGAAACCTTTCATCATCTCTTATATTTCTCTCATTCATGGGTTGTGGATTAAAGGGTATCATTCCAAGTCAACTGGGCAACTTAAGTAGCTTGATTGACTTATATCTGCAAGGGAATGAGTTGAATGGGCTTATTCCACCAATGTTAGGTAGGGCACAAAAGCTTCAAAGGTTGCATCTTGATAAAAACAAATTAGGTGGCCCCATTCCTCATACCCTTTGTGAACTCCAGTTTCTAGGTGAATTGGAATTGAGCAATAATCAAGTGTCAGGTAGTTTACCAACTTGTTTTGGTAATAGCACTTCCCTTAGAAGTATCTTGCTAGGTTCAAATCGTTTGTCTTCTGGGATATCTTCAAGTTGGTGTTCTCTCAAAGATTTGTTGGTGCTTGATTTGAGTTCTAATTTTCTAGATGGACCTCTACCCGTTGAAGTTAATGGTTTAAAGGCACTTTATTTTCTTGACTTGTCCAACAATATGATCTCGGGGAATATCCCTAGCACTATTGCACAATTGCAGGGTTTGAAAACTCTTTCCCTTGCGCACAATAGACTAGAAGGAAATATTCCAGAGAAAATAAGTCAAATTGTTTCGTTGGAATACTTAGACTTATCGTTGAACAAACTCTCTGGCTCAATTCCAGTGTCTTTGGAAGGACTTGCATACCTCAAATACTTCAATGTGTCATTCAATGAACTGAGCGGTGAAATTCCATCAAGCGGTTGTTTCAAAAATCTCACAAGTGCATCATTCATGTCTAATGAAGGGTTATGTGGAATTCCAAGCTTTCATGTCTCACCTTGCCATTCTACCCACCATTCAAAGATTTATAAAGTAATTCTCGTTGCACTTGCATCTTTAGGAGTTGTACTGATGATTACTTTTGTAATTATTGCACTTATCCTTAGAAAGAAACAAAAGAAAAGTACAGTTCCAAGTACAAAGGATATACACACCCCATGGATTTCTTATGCTGAACTTTCAAGGGCTACTTGTGGCTTTAGCCAAAATAATCTCATAGGTTCAGGGAGCATTGGCGTAGTTTATAAAGGGATTCTGGATGACAAGACGCTTGTAGCAGTGAAGGTGTTTAATCAATCGGATGTTGGATTTAAGGGTTTTGATTCTGAGTGTGAAGTGCTAAAGAATTTGCGCCATCGAAACCTTACTAAGGTGATTACCGGTTGCTTTGTTGACAACTTTAAGGCTTTGATCCTTGAGTACATGCCCAATGGAAGTCTTGACCAATGGTTGCATTCACAAAGTAACCTCCTGGATATTGTTCAAAGGATGAATATAATGATTGATGTTGCTTATGCTTTAGAGTATCTTCATCATGGCTACACAACACCTGTGGTTCATTGTGATTTAAAGCCCGCTAATGTGTTATTAGATGATGAAATGGTTGCCCATGTATGTGATTTTAGCGTGACAAAGTTGTTAACTAAGGAAGAGTGCTTTACGCAAACAGAAACGTTGGCAACATTGGGTTATATGGCCCCAGGTAAAAGCAATATAATTCTAGTCTTTCATTCAATTTATTCATACAATGAAATTTCAATATTCGTAAGTTGTCATTGATCAAAAGACATAGTTCTCTCTATTTTCTATTTCAAATATGATGATTGTAGTTTTCATAATAACAGAGTATGGGTCGACGGGAATAGTATCAACACAATGCGACATTTACAGCTTTGGAATTGTGTTGATGGAAACATTTTCAAGAAAAAGGCCCACGGATGAAGCTTTCGGTGAAGATATGAGCTTGAGAAGTTGGATAAGCAATTCTTTACCTCATCATGTACTTCAAGTTGTAGATCCCAACTTACTGGGGGAAGAGGATATAGACTTCACTGTGAAATTGCAGTGTGTATCCTCTATATTGGAATTGGCATTAAATTGTGCTATGGAGTCCCCTGAAAAGCGGTTAAATATGACAGATATTGTAGCAAAGCTGAATGGAATCAAACATCAATTTTTACGAGGTGGTTATGTGACATCAGTGCATGGTAATGTGTTTCTTTAATCTTCTTCATTATCAGGTTTCAAAATTGTAACTTTATGTGTTTGCAGATCAAAGTGCTTAAAGTTAGATGAGGAAATGAAAGGTAATATGAAAGATTCCGACCATGTTTTCCTATGTTCATTTCATATTTCTGCATTCTTTTTTGCTTTGTTTCATTAATCCACTATTAGGGAACATGCAATCATAAAAAGGCATGCAATTTGTTTATGAATGAATTTTTGTCGTAATTCAATTGGTTTTGCTTTTGTTGCTCTAATCATGAGTTGTCTATATGTATTTATTTCAATTTCTAGCATATAATCAGTTGAAGTAATTTTGCTGTTGCAATTATTAACAGTTGGCTATAGCCCCTAGCCATGGGAAGAGCATAAAGCATTATGTATGAGTATCTTAACACGAAGACAGCTTGAACAAAAAACTTTCTACCGTGTTTGAGAAGTCGGAAAAGTTAAGAGCCTAAATTTTTAATTGTTATATGTTTTGTTTTGTTCCGACTGTACATTTATTATTTATATACATTATATTCAACATCAGAGTGTTGCTTTTTATCCATGTAGTAAACATTTATTTTAAAGACTTTATCAAATTGATTCTTCATTACATTATTGATAGGATATATATCCCGACACCGACCGGCCACCTGTACGTCCATAGGCTCGTTATAGTCAGGTCAGGGTCGAACGGTTCGGGACCCGGTCCACGGGTCAAAGTCGAAGGTGACGGGTCAAACCCGCCACCTCCCTTAGCCTATAAAAAGGGACATTACCCTTCAATTAAAGGGAGTCAATTCCATTCACTCTCTCAATTCTCTCGGCTCTCTCTCTATATACGTTATTTCCTCCTACTTCTCTCTACAAACACATAAGAAGCATACAAGAACATTAATAAGAGAACCTCCTTTCTATATCTCTTGTTCTTTGTTCATACCTTGTTGATACATATTGATGGATTTAATTAACCCGGGGGTCCGAGTTATTAAATCCTATAAATAAATGAAATGATAAATGGATAGCCAAGGTAAAATAATGGCGAAATAAATATATATCGCGGAGACAATTTTGTATTGATTAGTGAATTGATAAGCCGATTACAACAGGTGTGAAGCTATTATAGTAGAAGATCAAGACAAGATAGAAGGTGTCCCCTTAATAGGACAAACACATGCATATTTATACAAAATAACCCTAACTAACTCGCTAATTGCACGATGGGCCAAAAGACTAAGTTAAGGCCCATGCGGTGGGCCGTAGGAATAAGTCCAAGCCCATGCGGTGGGCCGTGAGACTAAGTCAAGGCCCATCATTCTCGGCCCGTAGGCAGGCTCCGGGCTTGAGAGTCTTCTTGGGCTGCTCGTGTTATACATCCTGGACCCCGGGTCTCTATTATTATTGGGCCATTTCCAATATATCCATCATCAGTCCCCCATTCTCTGAGTTGCGAGTTGTCTACAACGAGAGAGAGTAAACGTTTGGCCCAATTGAAACTGCTCGGGACTCCATGCTTGGATGAATGCTTCAGGGTCAACTTGAAAAAATATTTTGCTTATTCCAACACCTTTTAAGCTTTTAGCTTCACACTTTAATCAGTGATTCGAGTCCTCTCCGTTCGAGAGCGGGCTATCTAGACGACGCATGGTCATTTATTAGATTCTTACTCGCGTTATTTTGCTTTGTTTTCTTTTTTTCTCTCTCTCTTTTTTTTTTTTACGTAGTATGTAGTTATTTGGCCAAGGGTACTCTTGGTCCAAAAACTCTTCCGTTGGGGTTGGTACGCGAGGTCGGACCTCGTGCCCCCTTAGGGGGCGTTAGCCGCTTAGGCCTAGTCCTGCTGGACTAAGCCACCGAGCTCTTCCGTCGGGGTTGGTACGCGAGGTTGGACCTTGTGCCCCCTTAGGGTGCGCTACCGACATGAGCCAAGTCCTGCCGGACTAAGCCATCGGATTCTCCCGTCGGGGTTGGTACGCGAGGTCGGACCTCGTGCCCCCTTAGGGTGCGCAAGCCGCTTGGGCCGAGTCCTACCGGATTAAGCCACCGAACTCTTCCGTCGGGGTTAGTACGCGAGGTCAGACCTCGTCCCCCTTAGGGTGATAGCGCTTTGACCCGAGTCATTTGACACTGGGCCGCTAGGCTCTTCCGTCGGGGTTGGTACGCGAGGTCAGACCTCGTGCCCCCTTAGGGTGATAGCGCTTTGACCCGAGTCATTTGACATTGGGTCGTTAGGCTCTTCCGTCGGGGTTGGTACACGAGGTCGGATCTCGTGCCCCCTTAGGGTGGTAGCCCTTTGACCCAAGTCCTTTGACATCGAGCCGTTAGGCTCTTCCGTCGGGGTTGGTACGCGAGGTCGGGCCTCTTGCCCCCTTAGGATACGATAGCCCTTCGATCTGAGCACTTTGACCTCGGGCCGTCAGGCTCTTCCGTCGGGTAGCTAGCGGGATCGGATCCCGTGCCTGCCCTTAGGGAATAGAGCGAGCAAGCTCGAACAAATTGGAATTAAATTCAGGGACCGTTGGTCTGGAGTCCTTGGTCCCGGCCCCTCTCCCACCTCGGAATGGAAAAATTTGTCGAACTTGGGCTAATTTTGCAACCAACAAATATTTTATTCTAATAAAATAGATTGTTGGTCGGACCAACATACATGGAATATGTCAATAATAGGCTCTTCCATCAAGTAGTGGGCGGGGTCGGATCCCGTACCACCGCTAGGGAGTGCCAAGGTCAGGGCCGGCGCGCACGACCGTAACCATGGATATATTAATTATTTTGCCCAGGCGAGGTCGGACCTCACAACGCCACTAAGGAGAACCAATAATAATAATAATAATAATAATAATAATAATAATAATAATAATAATAATAATAATAATAATAATAATAATTATTATTATTATTATTATTATTATTATTATTATTATTATTATTATTATTATTATTATTATTATTATGTTGAAAGCTGCCGCCTTCGATGAAAGCCAATAATATAGAAGCTTTCGGAATATCTGTTGAAACAGCTCTCACTGCCATGGTTGCACACCCGAATTACAGAGGTCTCACCATTGTACTTTCCTTTTCACCTTATCATTACGAGGGAGGAGAGTGGAACATGGGAGGATCATGCACCGAGGAGGTCAAGCCAACTGTAGATAGTGAATTGGCCGAGAATGGCATCACCAACATAATGCACGAGAAACAGTCCATTGGCTTCTCTCGAGCAATCAAGAAGAAAACCAACAAGTTAGAGCTGAAACTCATGGACATCACACGAGTGTTTGGGTATCGCCATGATGGACACCCAGGCCTCTATCGAAGCCTGGACCCAAACAAAATCACAAAACTAGGGCGGGATGGTAAACCTCCACCGCAGGGCTGCCTGCACTGGTGCATGCCAGGTCCAGTTAATACATGGAATGATATGGTGTTTGAAATTATACGAAGGGAATTCCAAGGGCCGCAAACTACTCCCTCATGAACCACTCACAGTTTCTTCCCACAATGCAAAGGTTCTTTTAAATTATAGCTAGACTCCCTTCTTCTTCAGGCTACACGAGAAACAGACAGACAAAACTACACGGCCATATCTTGTTTATGAACCTTATCTGCCACAAATTTGGAATGCAGCTTGGCTTGTCACATTACCCCCACATAATTATTGTTGTTTGATACGCTAAACAGTAGTAGTACATGAGTAAAGTTCACTTGCAGGACCCGGACCTCCGATCCTTGCCTGACCTACTCACTTTGCCGTGAGAAATACCCGGGCCTCCATCGCCGCCTTCATTGCAACAACATATTCGTACGTTGTAATGCCCTTTCTAATTAGTATCATGTGGACAAAGAAGAGTTCATCCGAGGGTGCACAACCCAGTACTGAAATCGCTATACAAACAGCCGCAAATGGAGCCCGAGAGAAACCATTCCCTAGTCTGTCGACTATTTCAGCCTCCATGTTCTTTTTATTCACAAGTCACCGCACCAAAACATCAACTCCAGTCCTAGCTTCAATAGCAAGCCATACTAGACTGATGGCCATAAGAGATATAAAGTAGCATAATTTTTCAGCCCGACACAGTTATTTAGCCACCGACAATGGTGATCAAATCCGTCAACACATTTGTCACAGCTTCTATAATGTTTACTAAACTTGCATACCTCGGCATTGCACAGTGTACAGTGTGCAGAACAAAGCATCTTCGCTCGGGCACTGATGGTGATGATGCGTCAGTAACGACGAGGTGATCAAAGGCGAAGGCTCCGATTGCATCCGCACTTACTTTGTCTCTCCTCTTCTGGGCGAAGTTGGTTGCGACGGCTTCAATGGGCGAAGAGAAGGCTTCTTCCTTGATGAAAAGTGCGAGAACGCTGTGATCGGAGGAAAGGTTGATTTCTGATATGGCATGCGGCAAAGTCATACATAAGCGGGGTTCAGCGATTCCGGTCTGCTAGTACATGGTGGTGAGCTTCGCCTGGTGAATCTTAAGCCGGTGGAGCTTCATGATGTCAAAATAATCCAAAATGACGTGCGTTCGGAGAATGCTCTCGGCGATGTCGATGGGGCGGCTGGAGAGATCTCCGATCTGGCCGTTTTTCATGGCCAAAACAGTTACAGTGGAGTGCTGATTGATATGAGTGGCTAAACCAGTCCGAGTCAAGAGATCGTTGAAGACGCCGTAATCGGGGGAGCGGTTTAGGATCCGCGTGATGTTGAAGGCGGAGGCGATGGAGAGGATGCATGTTAGGAGGATAACTGCATGCGGCGGCGGAGAGCGCGCCTTTACTGATGATCTGAGATAGATGGTCGACGACTACTCGAGATGTAATACTCCCAGCTACGATGGCCGTAGCGTGAGGTGTCGCATGCAAGTGGCGATTGATTTCTGCGGGCAGAATCGAAGGTTGAGGCTCATAGAGGGCTGCCGAATCACTGAGATTGAATTGGAGGGGAGTCAAGAAAATCGAGGTTCTATGGTGACGGCAAGAAGCAGCAGGGATGATCTAATATCGTCTAATGATGCAATGACCATATATTCATCGTCTTGTAAATTGATGAATGGAAATTGTGTAGAAATCTAGGTATTTTGTGAAAGGTGGATCGCACTATTGTTGATCGTGGTAGTCATGTTAGACAAAAAGTAGAGAGCACGCTCGAGCTTGTACAGCTGCTCTCATCAAGAACACCAATGATGGATTTAATTAACCCGGGGGTCCGAGTTATTAAATCCTATAAATAAATGAAATAATAAATGAATAGCCAAGGTAAAATAATGGCGAAATAAATATATATCGCAGAGACAACTTTGTATTGATTAGTGAATTGATAAGCCGATTACAACAGGTGTGGAGCTATTATAGTAGAAGATCAAGACAAGATAGAAGGTGTCCCCTTAACAGGACAAACACATGCCTATTTATACAAAATAACCCTAACTAACTCGCTAATTGCACGATGGGCCAAAAGACTAAGTTAAGGCCCATGCGGTGGGCCGTAGGAATAAGTCCAAGCCCATGCGGTGGGTCGTGAGACTAAGTCAAGGCCCATCATTCTCGGCTCGTAGGCAAGCTCCGGGCTTGAGAGTCTTCTTGGGCTGCTCGTGTTATACATCCTGGACCCCGGGTCTCTATTATTATTGGGCCATTTCCAATATAACAATCACATATTATATACAGACATACAGTATATACATACTACGAGTACAACCGACCACCGGGAATTAGTACTATCAATTATTTTTTTGCAACTTAAAATCAGCACAAAGGCATGATGTATGTATGTATTACTTGCCAAAATCTTTATCTTTATATTTATCTTTATCTTTATATCTTTATATACATATATATATATATATATATATATATATATATATATATATATATATAAGAGATTGTTTAGTTTATATAACAGATGCAAGATAAAAAATACATACAAATTTATAAATTCATGTAATCATGAATTAATTTCTACGAGTATTATATATCAACTTTGATTTTAATTACAAATACTTATATTAATAATTAAAAATCAAATCAATATAATTTTTAAATTAATAATTATATATATAAATGAATAAAGTTCATATCACATTTTTATATATATAATTTAATAACACTGTATAATTTAATTAATATTTTATCCTTTTAGTAGGTGTGTCAACAAATGTCATACTTTTATATATATATATATATATATATATATATATATATATATATATATATATATAATTGCACTCAGGTGCGAATGCTTCGCCCAGAAGCGAAATAGGAATGGATTCTGTCCGTCCACGTGTCCAGATCTAATGGATGAGAAACACTGATTTTTTTAAAAAGCGCGATGGTATTTTCGTAAATAATTGAACATCGAAGTACAAGTAAAATGTATTACAAGTGCATGTAAAATGTATTATAAGTGCAAGTAAAAATTTACACTGAGCATCAATACTAAGTGCACCTATAGTTATAATTAGTTGCACCTAGAGTTCTAAGTAGTTGCACAAATAGTTATAAGTAGTTGCACCTATGTGCATGAATGTTCGCGGGTGGTTTTCAGGGATATTACTACCCGCTGAACTCAGATCAATGAATGTTAACAAGGCAAAATTACATGCACTTATAGGTGAAAGTATGTGCACCTATAATTATAAGTAGTTGCACCTATAGTTATAAATAGTTGCACCTATAGTTATAAACACACCCAGGTGCATGAATGGTTGTGGGAAGCGATTGTTAACAAGGCAAAATTACATGCATTTATAGGTGATGTTAGAGTCTTAATATTATTATGTGGTTGTGCTGAGTCTTGCTTGTACATAGCCTAGAGTTTAGGAAGCTCTTTAGAGTTCTCTTGTTTTAGGACTCTTGGTTTTACAGTTTCAATCAATCAATTCTTTCCTCGTAACTTCATCTGGTATCAGCCTAATTCTTACCGATCCTAAGCCATGTCGACACATTCATCAGAACGTACGAACAGTGCTGCCAATCTTCCCTCCCCGATCACCACAAACAACTTAACATCCGCTCACCACTTCATCTCCCTAAAACTTACAAACCGAAATTTTTTATTTTGGCGCACACAAATCATACCGTTCCTACGTGGGCAAGGGCTCATCGGTTACGTTGAGGGTGACATTCCGTGTCCACCCGCCACCACTGCAGCGGCCCCCTCCGGTGATGGCTCCGGCAGCACGTCTCCATCACCGCTCCCGAATCCGGCTCACGCGCAATGGACACAACAGGATCAATCGATCCTCAGTCTCCTCGTCTCCTCTCTCTCGGATGAATGCATGCATTTGGCGGTTGGCCGTGCGACTTCCAGGGACGTGTGGCTGTCCATCACTGCCGCGCTTGGCTCATCAACGCGTGCCCGGTGTCTAAACCTTCTCGGTCAATTCCAATCTCTCCGACAAGGAGACAGTTCGGCGGCCGAGTACTTGGGTCGTGCGCAGCTTCTGGTCGAACAACTCTCGCAAGCAGGTAGGCCTATGTCCCTCGATGAACAAAATTTATATGTGTTCAGGGGATTGATTCCGGAATTCAGAGCGGTGGCGGCGTCTCTCACGGTTACGGGATCGCCGGTGACCATCCCTCAACTCGCGGACTTCCTCCAGGCGCAGGAGTTCATCTACGCAGATGAGTTTCTCCCGGTCGATCAGCATCGGAACTCCTCTCCAGTCGCCATGTACGCCGGGCAGGGCCAGAACCGCCGGCAGAACAGCAATGGCGGTGGCCGTGGGCAGCATCGCGGACGCGGGCAGAACAGAGGACGCGGCGGCCGGGGGCAGAATCGCGGCGGTGGTGGTGGTTCCCCTCGCTGTCAGATATGCAGGTGTCATGGGCATACCGCCGTGTATTTCTCCAAGAGATACAACACCCAGCCGCCGGCACCATCGCAGGCCCACGTTGCGACCACCGGAGACGACGGGGCAGGTTCTGCGTTGGAGACGTGGTTCCCGGACACCGGTGCAACTGCACACGCCACACCGGATTCCGGGATGATCGACCAGGCCGAGGAGTACACCAGAGGCGATGTCCTTCGGGTTGGAAATGGTACAGGTTTGGGAATTTCCTCTGTTGGACATGCATTTATTCCGTCGGTTTCTAAAAATTTAAAACTCTCAAATATTCTGCATGTCCCGAAATTGTCTGTTCCCCTTCTTTCTGTTCATCGTTTTACAAGTGATAATGCAGTGTTCTTTGAATTTCACAATACTTATTTTGTTGTTAAGGATTCAATTACCAAGGAGGTACTTCTTAAGGGTCCCAGTACGGATGGCCTGTACAAACTGTCAATTCCGCGGTCTCACGTTGCTTTCCTGAGTTCCCGGGCATCTCCCAATATTTGGCATCGGCGGTTGGGTCATCCACACTCAAAAGTGCTCGAGAAAATACTACCACAATGTCCAGTCACCACAAGTCGTTCCAGTTCGTCTGAATTACGTTCCGCTTGCCAACTCGGCAAATCTTCCCGATTCCCATTAGATAGGGTTTCTTTTATTTCAAATAATGTACTGGACCTTGTATACACGGACATTTGGGGGCCGTCACCTGTTATTTCGGTGAACGGCTTCAAGTATTTCGTTTTATTCGTGGATGATTATTCACGATTCTGCTGGTTTTACCCACTTCGGCTAAAATCAGATATTTATAGTGTTTTTCATTCTTTTCGTGTCATGGTAGAACGTCAGTTCTCACGTTCTATCAAGGCAATACAGTCAGATTTAGGCGGTGAATATCGCCGTCTGCACAGTGTCTTTGAGTCGTTGGGTATAGTACATCGCCAATCGTGTGCCTATACCCACGAGCAAAATGGGCGCGTAGAACGTCGCAATCGGCACATTGTCGAGACGGGTCTCGCTTTATTAGCCGAAGGGTCTGTTCCTACTAAACACTGGGACTCAGCCTTTGAAACGGCCACTTATCTAACCAATCGGCTACCATGCTCCGCACTCAAGTTTGAAAGCCCTCACTACCGACTATACAAAACCACACCTTCATACACTTTCCTAAGAGTCTATGGGTGTCGTTGCTTTCCCTACCTACGCCCATACAACAAACACAAAATTGAGTTTCGGTCAACCCCATGTGTTTTCCTAGGGTACCCCCCGTCCTTTAGAGGTTACAGATGCATGGACCTCAGCACAGGAAAAACCTTTATCTGTAGGCATGTCCGTTTTGATGAAAATATATTTCCTTTTGCCACAAGTACAGGTAATCCAGAAGTCGTGCACCAAGCCAATATACCATGGGCTTCTGGTCCTATTGTGTCACAGGCTGGACCTTCCACACCGCCAGCTGCTCCCTTGGATGTTGATCATCCTCCCTTAGCCATTGAGGCACCACCAGCTGCACCCAAGCGCGGCCGTGGTCGCCCAAGGAAGAACCCCCCGCAACCACAACAACCACAGCAACCGCAAGAGCATGGCCATGTCATGCGGCTACGGCGTATGACAAGGGGTGCAGATGAACAGTTTCAAGCTCTCACGGCGTCTGTGGATCCAACTTGCTATTCGCAGGCCGTGGGGCACTCACAATGGCGAGAGGCAATGGACCAAGAGTTCAACGCCCTGATTCACAACGAGACGTGGCAACTCGTCCCGGCTCGACCAGACATGAATGTAATCGGGTGTAAGTGGGTGTATCGCACCAAACGCAAGGCAGACGGCACCATAGAACGCTACAAGGCGCGCTTGGTAGCCAAAGGTTTCAATCAAGTCGCCGGAGAGGACTTTTTTGATACATACAGTCCTGTGGTCAAACCGACTACAGTACGCTTGCTTCTGTCCTTCGTCGTTTCACGCAATTGGACCCTCCGCCAACTCGACGTCCATAACGCCTTTTTAAATGGGCGCTTGGCTGAAACCGTGTACATGCGGCAGCCACCGGGCTATGAAGATCCTCTACATCCGGATCATGTATGCCACCTGCGGCGATCTCTATATGGCTTGAAACAGGCACCACGAGCCTGTTTCAAGCGTCTGTATGATTTTCTAATCTCTACAGGATTCAAGTCGTCAAAGACTGACGTATCTCTGTTCCACTACACCACTGGGACGTCACGGGTCTTCTTACTTGTCTACGTGGATGATATCATCCTTATGGGCGATGACGCTGCTCTCATCAACACAGTGTTACACCGCTTGAGTACCACGTTCAAGATCCGAGATCTCAGCGTACCAAGCTTCTTTCTGGGCATTGAGACCATTCCGATAGAAGGCGGGCTTCTGCTGTCTCAACGGCGTTATATGAGTGATCTCCTGAAGCGCGCAGGCATGACTGACTGCAAGCCTCTGGCTACTCCAGCTGCTCTTACACAGCCTGTAACACCGTCCACAGAGGACTTTGACAACCCCACTCAGTATCGCCGCCTAGTTGGAGCGCTCCAGTACCTGACGATAACACGTCCGGATCTCTCCTACGCTGTCAATCGCCTATGTCAATTCATGCATACACCAACTGCTGACCATTGGGCCCTTCTGAAACGTGTCCTCCGGTATGTTAAGGGTACTGCTACACATGGTCTTCGCCTGACTACCTCGACCTCAGCAGATATTCACGCCTACTCAGATTCAGACTGGGCGGGTTGTCCTGTAGATCGCAAGTCCACCAGTGGGTATGCAGTGTTTCTAGGGACCAACCTTGTCTCTTGGGTCTCGCACAAGCAATGGACGGTGGCGCGCTCGTCAACAGAGGCAGAATACAAGGGTCTCGCCGATGTTGCTGCAGAAGTCACGTGGATTGCCTCTCTTCTACGTGAGCTGGTCCTCCACTCCGGTGTACCACCCACCCTATGGTGTGACAATCTCGGGGCCACCTACTTATGTGCTAATCCGGTGTTCCATGCCCGCACAAAACACGTAGAAATCGACTTCCACTTTGTTCGGGATAAAGTGACTTCTGGCGAGTTCCTGGTCAACTTTGTCTCCACCAAAGACCAGCTTGCGGATATCTTCACGAAGCCCCTTCCGGGACCACGCTTTGCAGCGCTTCGGGACAAACTCAATGTTGCTTCTCATCCACCTTGTGCTTGAGGGGGAGTGTTAGAGTCTTAATATTATTATGTGGTTGTGCTGAGTCTTGCTTGTACATAGCCTAGAGTTTAGGAAGCTCTTTAGAGTTCTCTTGTTTTAGGACTCTTGGTTTTACAGTTTCAATCAATCAATTCTTTCCTCGTAACTTCATCGGTGAAAGTAGGTGCACTTGTAAGTGATTTTTACTTGCACTTTGATGTTCAATTATTTACGAAAATGCCACCGCGTTTTTTTTAAGCTATTAGATCTGGACACGTGTCGCGCGCTGATTCGTTCGCATATTCCTTCCTGGGCACTTATTCGCACCTGAGTGCATCCCTATATATATATATATATATATATATATATATATATATATATATATATATATATATATATATATATATATATATATATAGGATTATTTTCAAATACAAACCACCCTTAAAATATAAACTCCCCTCAAAATACAAACTGTGTGCATGTAAGTATGTTTATGTGTGCGCAAGCTGATCCTATATATTGTTGACAGTGTGCCCAGTGTGCATGTAAGTTTGTTAATGCGTGCACGAGCTTTGATGGATGGTTGTGATTTTATCCGCCTACGCGCTCTGTGCATGTAAGTATGTTAATGTGTGCACGAGCTTTGATGAATGGTTGTGATTTTTCTCCTACGCGCTGTGTGCATGTAAGTATGTTACTGTGTGCACGAGTTAATCCCAGAAATTGTTGGCAGTGCGCAATGTGTGCATGTAAGTATATTAATGTGTGCACAAGCTCATGTTTGTATTTTAAGGGGAGTTTGTATTTGAATGCAACCCTATATATATATATATATATATATATATATATATATATATATATATATATATATATATATATATACTAACTTTTTAATAGTTTGTAATTTTGATTAGTTTTTTAATAATTTACAAAGAAAGTTAGATAAAGTAAAATCAAGTAGGGAAAAAATTTTCCCGCTTAAGTGTGAATGCATATTAATAGATTTGTAAGTTCATTATTTTTTTTGTTGTGTATAAACCACGAGGTGGTCCAGGTGTTTCTCTGTCCGTTTAACTTTGTAAGATCATTATTGCAAATGAGATTAGCAATATGAATGCATTTTTTATCATATTTATTGTCTTAACATTTAAATATTATAATGTATAACTATACTTACATTTTTAATAAAATTAATTCTGCTTTGTATCATAAATTCATAATATTACAATAATACTTATAAATTTTTATCCGTGCATTGCACGGGGCAAATACTAGTAAATGGATAAAGTTGTTTGTTTATTTTATTTTTATTTTACATATCACATATATTATTCTAATTACTATGAAAATTAATTCGAATTCAATTTGGGTCATACCAACAAATTTTTTAAATTAACTCTTCAACTAAAATTTTTCGAAGACTAACACGTTATTAAATTAATTAGAGATTCGCTTTCAAAAAAAAAAATAGAGATTTAATACATAAATACCAATATTAATAAATAAATGTACAATATCCAACACACACGTATATGAAACAATATGTGATGCACCATGACAATGATCCAAAATGTGCCAACTCATTAAAAAGTAAACTTTACATTGAGCCGTTTTATGTAAATTATAATAATTTTTAATGTATTATAATTAAAATTGCTTTATTATATTAAAATTAATTATTATTTGATCTGGAAAAGTTTGAGGAGGGGAGGTGAATAGACTCATTAAATAGATTTTTGAAAATAATTTTTGAGTGAACTTAAATTTTAAAAAGAATAAAGTTTATAAAACATAGCAGAAAATATTGTTAACCCTTTTAGTTTGTGGCACGTTTTTGACTTAAGATTATATTGAGTGCGAGAATAATGAGCAATAAATAAAGTGCTTATAGTAAATGAGACCTAAGAAATTTATAGTGGTTCAGTCAACCGTTCTAATCCGCTCTTCTCCTAAAATCTTTAAGAAGTTTTCACTAGTATTGCTCCTAATACATGTGGAGAGGACGTACACTTTGATCACAAAGTCAAGCACAACTCTAAGGATTTTCACAAGATATAACTTGTTACTCCTATTTCTACTTCAACAAGTTGAAATGATGGGTTTGAACACAAAAAGATTGTTCTTCTTGATCCAACGGATGATGACTTGATGTTTGAATAGTTCTTGAATCTGCCAAAGTCATCTCTTGATGTTGAGTGATTAGGAGTTATATCCCTCACTGGTCAAGTGATTGAATTCTCTTGTAAACAATTTGAGCACTTGTAAGTTTTTCTTGAAAAGTTCAGCACCTCATTCATCTTTTGAATTGTACTTATATACTTCTTTGAATTTGTCTATTAGAGAGAAACAAAATTAAAACAAAATGTCTTTAACCCGTGTATAAGAGTTTTTTCCCAAAATGGTCCCTCGACTATTGTTCATTCTCAATTTTGCATTTTGACTTTTAATTGCACCCAATGTGGTCCCTTGACTTTTAAAAATTACTCCAAATTAGTCCTCTGTTAGCTTTTCTGTCAACTGAGTGTTAAGTGTGAGGGTATTTTCGTCCATTCACTGCCTATTACAACTGTTCTTCGTTGTTCATCGTTCCTTTTGTCTTCCGATCAGAAATTAACCACAAACTTAAAGTTATCGTCGCGCTTATCCAACCGGACACCGGAGCTTCTCTGAGTTCTTGACTCTAAACAGTATTCTTAGACGCGAATTCTCGACTCGGAAGCTCCGATTGACCGCAACTAAAGCTTCGTCGATCGATGCTTGGTCGGTTGCCGGTGGTTCGTTCAGAGACAGAGGAGGAGTGTGAGAGCCCAGCTTCGTAGAATTCATTACTTAGGAGAGAGTGAAAGTGGTGGCTATGTTAGCCTTGGCTTTATGTAACGCCGACCGTGTCGTAATGTCGGTGGTGATCGTTCCGTTATCGGCCTCTCATGGCTAGCTTCAATCGTTGGTTGGCGTTGTTCAGTACTTATCATTTTCACTTTGGGGACTTGATATATTATTTCCGTGTTTGTAATTGGAACTGTCACTACTGTTATAAAAATTTGTGAGCATTAATTTATGACCGAAATCAAATGCCTTTCTTATGTCTGATTGCAGAGGTTGATTGCATGGGCAATCGGAGTCCACCGTTGGAGTCAGGGATGCTAGGGATGTTGATTGTCATCGCCAATTTTTTGATCGCCCACCTGTTGCAAACTCTCAAGTCGCAATGCAGTCAACATCAATGCAGGCCAGGCCTCGGCTGGCATAATGCCACAACCGGTGGTCTCGTCGTCTCTGTTGGTGGGGAAGCCACCATCGTCTAGAGTTGAGCCATCGACGATGGCAGGCGGAGACGTCACAAAACCAAGGCTCCATACTCTCGGGTTCAAACTGCTCTTGGTCAAGGTTCATCATCTGACTCTATGGTGCAAGGTTAGTCCTTTATTCCTCAAGATTCTGGGATAGTTTATAGCAGATTGGAGACTCCACGTACTGGTAATGTGAGCTTGTCCTCTCATGGTGTTGCTAATCGGCCGGTTCATGCGAACTTGGCTGGTCATAGCTCCCATAATCCTCTTTGAGCACCTTTACCGATGGTTTCCAATGCCGGGTTCACGAAGGCTTGCCGCCTCTAATTGTTGGTAATGTGGCGGTTTCTCATGAGCAAACTTCTGTTGGACATACATTACCAACCATTCATTCTACTGATCAAGGTTTGGCGTTGGATGGAGGTGTTAGTAGTGTGAGTATAGTTGCTCCCCGTATCACTATCTCTCGACCAAGGCTAAATCTTGATGTTTCAACCGTGGCTGATGTTAATGTTTTTGATTAAATGAGAAGAGATTTCAATTCTATTTCATCGAATGCTAATAGTGGGAGTAGAGGTGTTGTGAATCCATCTTTGCTCCCTACTGATAGCATTCAACTCCCTATCATTAGTGCCACTGAAGTTTCTGATTCGGCGGCCATGCTAAGTGTTGGGTCTCAAGTCCAAAATATTCAATCTCTTGATCCAACATTTGGTAACAATATGGGTTTGTATGTTCAAGAAACTAATTCTGATTCTAATATTGATACTCTGAATGTGTCCACTGTCAATCCTAATGAAAGTGGACATACACTCAATAATATAACTGGTTTTGGTTTACAAAATGATCTAGTTGCTGCAAATATTCCTAATCTTTTGCCCAATTCTGTGTTTAATTCTAGTGTTGGTGCAGCTCGTGAGAATGCCAATGTTTTAGGACGATTAACTACTGTGTTATTTCATCTAATGGTATTAGTTAGTCTTCTTTCTCGGCTATATCTGCTTTGCCTAATACTGGAATTAATCCCAGGTTACCTAATTTGTTTGCAAGTGTTGGCAGTGTGACACCTCTTGGTGGAGTCGTGGCTTCATCTGGTGCTCCTGCATCGTCTGGAGAACAAAAACCCTCAAAACACAACGAAATGACCGAAATACCCCTAAACTTAACGCCTAGTTAACAGAAAACCTAACAGAGGACTAATTTGGGGTAGTTTTTAAAAGTCAAGGGACCACATTGGGTGCAATTGAAAGTCGAAATGCAAAATTGAGAATGAGCGATAGTTGAGGGACCATTTTGGGAAAAAACTCCCGTGTATAATGACCATTGGTTGCGTAGTAGGTTATTTTTGTCAGATTTTTCAATCGTTGCAATGACTTTCGGCTCCTTAAAAGTTAGCATTTTAGCCCTATTTTCTCTTGTCTATTTCATGATAAATCTTTCTTGCGAGTACTATCCACTCTGTTACAATATAGTATCTGTACATACATATTTGCTCAACCTATTGAAGTACAAAGAGTCAATATTCCATTGGAGTTCGAATATGTGATTTTCCATTTGGGAGAGCCACAGTTATGTCGCTGAACAACACGATTTGGTCTAATGTGTTCAGGGGCGGAGCCAGAAATTTGATTGGGGGGGGGGGGGGGGGGGGGGAAGGGAAACAGTATAGACGGATTCAGAAAATTTTTCCAGTAAAGACGAAACATTAAAACAAAAGAGATAATTTAAAAATAAATAAATAAATTACCTTAAGAAATATAGTTGTAAATTTTTTTGGATATGGACGAAAATAAA